AGCCAGATCCCTCTATCTTGGGCAACCTGGAACAGGCTGCTGAGGTTCAGCATAGATAGGTCCCCAGGATATAGTTGTCTCATGGAATCTTGCTGTTTTGTGTCCCTTGATCTCCCATTTTAAAGGCTGTACATTTTGGTAGAGAAGCCATTCTTTCTTGGAAGTTTAGGAACAGGGAAGGTTTGACTTTCAGGAATAGGTGCACATGAGTTGGTGGAAGGGAGACAGAGAACGTTGGGTTGCTACAACAATGACTTACTGTTGAAGAATAGCAAAGTAATTATCACATTACAGTTCTCTGGGCCTACTAGCATGGGTAATTAGCTTCCTTGGGGACTTTTTTTAAAAAAGAAAGAAAAAGAAAAGATTCCTTCCCAGCAACTAGCTATTTTGTCCTCTTAATTCAATTGAATTGGGAAACAGTTACAAAAAGGAGAAATTAACCCTTTAATGTCTGAAATAAACAGAGAAAGACATACTAGAAATGCTTTCCTTTACTTCTGACGTCAGGCTTACTTTTGCCTACCAAAATGGTAAGCACTGGGTTAACCAAAATATGGCACTATATAACTTTTCTTCTAATATTCCATAGGCGTCTCCTGGGTTCAGATTTTATTTGTTTACCACAGTAACCTGGCCTGTTTTAAATACATGTCTAATGTGACTTGGATTTTAAGAGACCATCAGGTGAGCTCAGGAAGAATGATCTCCTTAAAGGAACAATACATGGAAACAATCAAAATCTGTCCTTACTTAACTAAAATTTAGGGTTTAGAAACAGACATTCCATTTGGGACAAACTCAATACTGGCAGGAGTGTGATTGAACCTGAAGAGAATAAAGTAGAATTTTGATTTATTCATGGGGCAGAACAGGAAAGAGTCAACCTTAGGACTAAGGAATCAAATTATGATGCAAATTTCAGACAAAATCCATCAATTTACAAAACCTCAAGTCAAAATGAACCCAGATATTAACTGAACCATGAACTGGACCAGATATATGCATATTTACATCTAGCAAACTTGTTCAAACCAGAATCAAACCCTATGTATTTTCTAATGAACTAGAACATCAAAACATTCCTTTAACTGAACCAATGTTTCATTTGATTTGAGTCTCAGCTATGGAGGAGCAATTTTGGCTTTTTTTTTGCTTTCAGAGGGAGGTGGTTAAAATTTCCTGGAATTGATCTATATTCCACAACCTTTAGTTACTCAGATTAAATGAAGGTATGTGAATCTATTCATAAGTTCCATATCCAAGACAGACTAATATGAGAAGTAAACAAGTTGCTACTAACTACAATGTCCTAAAAAAGAACAGAGAGGTTTGCCCCATCCAACACCATTATTCTTTGGTGAAATGTATACTGCCCTATATAGGTCCCTAGCTAAAAGCTCAGAAAAAGATCTTGATATTTTATGAAATGATTCTTTCTTCTTAAATATCAAACATCTGTAAAAAGAAACTTATGCCAACTGAAAACTACACATTTTCTATAATTTCTTTATTTGATTCTGATCCTGTGAGAGGTATTGTATGGCTCTATAAATTATAAATAACAGGTAATAATAGAAAATATCTATGAAATGAAAATACTGTCTTATCCAGAGTATACCAGGTCTTAGAGAAGGTAAGAAATTTGCCACAATTCACAAAGCTAGGAGGTGGCGTAGCAGGGCATCCTTAAAGACATGTCTCTTTCTCTTCTTCTATATCCTATGCTCCTTCACCTCCTAGCTTGAAGTGGTCCTGAGTCTAAGGTCGGGGTGGAGAGGAGAAAATGGGTATGTCAAATCTCAAACTGTTTTGCCTGAGATCACCTTTGTCTCTATGGAGTGTTTCCTGAGTGGATATCTTGAACTTGATTCTAAACAAACTGCTAAGGAATAGGTATTGTCATGTACATGGATCCTGCTGTCCTTTGGGGATAGCCTAAATGTTCTGAAATTTCCAGGAAGCAATCTAGAATAGGATTTAGCTTCATTTATGTCCTAACTGAAATGAGGTTTTGAATTCTCTACTGAGAATACCACTTTAGATGGTGGTAGGGAACAGGGTTGTGGGTAATTCTGATTATCTTTCAAGTGGGTTCTCTTTCCTCCAAACTTGTTCTCTTTACCTCTTGCATTTGAATAAGTCCTTCTTCCTTTTCTTTAGCAAGGGAGTTCTGAAGGAGGAAGAGCAGATCTTGCATGACTATGTCAGGATTGGCATTTACTATAAGTTTTTCCAACCTGACAAATATTGTCAGGGTCCAAATGTCTCTTGCTCTATCTCTGGTGAGGTACATATTTTGAAGAAGGGCAATTCTGCAATGGTAGAATTGCAAAAGATAGAATATTGGCTATCAATGATTTGATAAATGTTCAAACAGTGTTTAATTACAGGTGGTTGTGTTCACATGTGCTAGGTAACAAATTGAATACAGTCTGCAAAGAGAATTTATTTACTTAAAGGTGATACCATCTGAGAATTTCTAACTAATAGATTACATGATGGTTTTTTTTTTAAAGTTCACAAATACCTCCCTTGAAGGTATTGGGCCTAATTCCTCTTCCATTGAATGTAGGCTAGACTTAGTGAGTCCTTCTAAAGACACAATAAAGCAGAAGTGACACTGTTGGCTTTGGTGACTATATCATAAAAGGCACTGCATCTTCTTTGTTCATTCTCCTGAATCACTCACTTGAGAGAGAGATCCCATTCAAGCCATCTTGGAAGTAGAGCCTACCACCCCACTTGAGCCTGCAGATAACTATAGCACCTCCTAATGCCCTAACCACAACAAATTGAGAGACTCTGAGCCAGAACCACCCAAATAAGCCACTCCAGAATTCCTGACTCACAGAAACTGTGAGATAACATAAGCTTATTTTAAGCCACTAAGTCTTGTGGTAATTTGTTTCATGGCAAGAAGTAAGGAATACAGTTACAAATTCTCAGAAATAGCTAGTGCTGTTTCTGAAAAGTGATAAGCTAAGCAATTTTGCCAGACTTTATAAATCTTGAACAAATGTTTTAAATTTTTTTTGCAAATCTCTACTTAGACGTTTTCCAAATAACTTTATCCTCAATTCAAGAGTTAAAAAAGTGAATCTTTGTAGTTTGAGCAACATGAACTTGCTTGATACATTGATGTGTTCTTCTGCACACTTGAACAAGATGTCATCAAAGAACATATGTTTTTATCCCTTCAGTAAACATTACTTAAATTCTTACTGGGTCTCTAGCACCATGCTGAGTGAAATAGGTGCTTTTGCATATCTATTTATTCAAAAACATTACTTGAGCCATTTACTACTACCCTGGGTCAGGCACTGTGCTCAGCACAGTGTCTTGAGGGGCTCAGTGTTTAGTTGGTGACGTAGACAGATATTACCACAGAAATATGAGTGGCATGCTATGATATTGCAGGGAATGGATAAACTCTCTATGTGAGGTCTTGAAGGATGAATAGGAATTTTCGAACAGAGTGGTGGGTTGGAAGGATGGCATTCCAGGTGTGGGGGAACAGGGTGTGTGAAGACATGGAAGTATGAAATGCCTGGGCTGCCTTTACAAATACATTAGTTTCCTTTGCCTGAGACTAGATGGTTGGTGACAGGCATTCTCCTGCCAGTGTGAGTCAGGCAGGACAGGGTATTTTTTTAGGCGCAGGAATTTTAAAGCCAACAGGCTGCTTAAGCTGCCCCAAATTAAAGGGCCATTGTGCTTCCCTAAAAGCCTCAGGCTAGAATTCGCATGATGAACTCTGAGCTTTGGGAGGACAAATGTGTAAGTCTTCTGGACCACATAATCTTCTTAGCATGAAGTATTCAAATTGCCTATACATGAGTCTACTAAACTTCTAAACTTGGACTTACGTGAATTCTAATTTTTATAACATTTGTTATGAAAAATGGAAGACATTGCCTTTTAGATTAGTGTTTTGGAGGTCCAAGACAAGAGAAAGAGTTTCTGCCACCAGCCACTCAGGAAGAAAAATCAGGAGGATCATGGTTTAAGGAAAGTTACCGAGACCCTCTTTCAATTACTAGCTACAGTTGGGGGCACACACCTGTGGTCCCAGCTCCTCAGGAAGCTGAGTTAGGAGGATCCAGGTTTGAGGCTAGCCAGAGCAAACTTAGTGTAGGACCCTATCTGAAAAAACAAACTACCAGTAGAAAAGACTAGGGGCATGGCTCAAATGGTAGTGCTCTGAGTTCAGTCCTCAGTACTCCACACAAGTTTCTGCCAGAATGTAAATCAACACACGGCTGCCTTCATTAGTGAAATAGTGCTCTGAAAGAAAAGGTCAGGTGATCTAAATGGTTTGCTTAGTAACAGTTAATTTACATTTGGCACAAGCTCCTAATCTCATCACAAACTGACTGATAACAAACAACTTATGTGTTGGCAGTGATCCATAGACCACAATTTTTAGATTACTCACAATCCACTAAATAAAATATTTCATGACAAATCTCTTTGGTGTTTTCAGAACCTAGTCTGTGCTTCTTTTTCTATTGTGAAATGGCACAATTTATCTTGCCTCCCTGTTTTTAAGACTGTATGGGGCACTTGACTCTTTTTGTTATAATATTTAATTAGGTCAGAGTCAAATTTGAAGCTTAAGTGCAACAACTATGTTGATAATTTTTGGGTATCATTCTTGTCCTTGATTCAGATTTTTAATTTCAGGTTTATATTTTGCTTGATCATTTCATTGGGCATGTTTTTTGCCAGATGATGTTGATGATGATGATAATGATGACAACAAGCACGGCAAACAAGCCCGATTTCTGGTCTGCATCCACTTCAGTAGAATGAGAGTTGTGGCTGTGCCTCCATGACTCCAAACAAGTTTTAGTTTCTGAAATGAGGCAATTGGGATTTTTGGAGACACAGTGGAGATCATGAGGAGTTTATTCCTCTGCATGCAGAGGGTATCGGCCACCATAGATGAAGTCAGCATGCACAGTTAGGAGAAGAGCACTCACCGTCTTGGTCGTTACCTGAGTCAGCAGGAGACTTGCTTCGGCGCATAGGGCCAGGGCTCTTGGCTGAACTCTTCTGAGGTGTTGGAGAAGCCTTTGGGCCAGATGTGGCTGATGGGTTTCCCTTCATGACTCGGCATTCTGGGGCAAAAGGACATAGCCAGCTTAGCAGAGTGTAGAACTAAGGCTCTGCATGTTACTAGCCTCAGGAAACTGAACTAACCACCAAAGACTAAAGTGCCTAAGTAGCTCAGGACTATGAGGTAGCTCTTATTTTTCTGAAAAAGCTATGGCTCTGGGGAGGGAGGCACAAGGAAAACTTTCAAAAGTCACCTGGGCTAACTAACCTAAGTGTTTAAGTCCCTGGACTAGGGAACAAGGGAAGTTCAGAAGCAGTTAAAGTAGGTCAAGCCATGCCTGAGAATAGGCACAAGTGGATATAATGTTTAATTAATTTTCTTGGAGTAGATTCCTCTCTCAGAGGTTGCAGCTACTTAATTGCAACATCCACAAGTAATTTAAAGGACAGGAAGCTATCACTTGTTGTCTATTATGTGCCACACGTTATAATAGGCACATTATGAATGTCATGTCCTATACCAGTAAGCATTTCCATCACCACCATCTTGCATTTATAGAACTCTTTTCAAGTTTCAATGCATGTTATAATCCCTTATGCTTGCTTAATAAATAAATGGGCCAGCAATGACTCTGCCACTCATAACTTGGGAACCCTCCTGGGTTTGTAGGAGAATATGCCAAATGTTCCTGCATTTGCTTCATCCCTAGTTTAACATATTTAGAGCACTCTTTTTATGCAGATCACTCAGCATCTCCAGATATGATAATTTGGGGGCACTGATACTACTAATTTATTAGGAGGATCATTTTACTCACTTGCTGATGAGAGTTCTAAAACCTTAAGCTTCTTGCTTAGGGCCCCCAAACAAGAAATAAATTTATGAAGGACTAGAAGCTAAGTCTCCTGTGACCCAATCTAGTGTTCTTTCCACTACAGATTTCCCCAAACTTGTGATATGATATGAAAAGCAGAATTAAACAGCTGGATAAAGGATAATCTTTTCTTTAGACACCTCCTTTTTGTCCCCTATTTCAAAGTACACTGCAATATAAATGAACCAGAAAGATTAGGGGAGCTATTTTTGGTAAATTGAGCTTTTTAGGAAAGTGAATTGAGTGGAAAGATCATTTTTTATTTGTTTTCCTTCTTATTTTGGTTGATTAATTTTAGTAATCTCTGTCCAAACACAGAGATACGGAAGGCATAGGAATTTGGACACAGCCTGGATTTGTTTAGATATTTTATGGACATTTCCCTCTTCTCAAAGGAAAAATAGCAGAAATATCACCTTTTTAAGGGTTCTTGTCACTTAAGTTGCCTGTAGATAATATAAGTAAAACTCCCCTTGTTTTTCTCACATTTTACTCTCCCTAAATGGGAAACATGTTTTTAACGTGTCTTTCTATCAGTATTACTATACCTAACACTGTTGTGTTAGCTAACTCACCTTCGACTTAACACCTGGAGCTTAAACGCAAGTAAAGGGAGATAGATACACAGATGTTCACATCCTTCCTGACATTAACAATCCTCTGGAATCCTGAATCACAAAGGAGGGAGAATGGGGCAGCAAGCCCAAAGGTGGGAAAAGGGTTTGACACTAAGAACACAGTGGAAAATCTTTCTAAAATGGAGCCATTGACATGGGCCAAATAGCTGGAGGATAGTAACTAGAAAAATGTGTATGTACGATATCAAGGTCCTGAGTCCAAGTGTTCCCTCCTGTTCTGATGGTGCCTATTAGTTCATGTGATACAATATGTGGTTCAAGAAATATGGCCCCTATTGGGGAAGATGGTGAGTTTTATTGAGCTTGATGGCTAGGCTTCTGGGACATCCAGAGACTCTTGTACACAAATATACAGGGAAAGACTAATGGCCCTTGAGGGGCCATTCTTGGATGTTCCTTAGGCCTCATAAATCCATGGAAATTCTATGGGAGAGAAGGGAGAATAATAGGGTTATAAAGCACAGTGGTTGTGCTTACCATTTTCATCCAAAGAAAAGTCATCCTGAGCATAGCGAAATTTTTCTGGACCACAGGCAATAAACACATCGTCATCACCAAAAAAATCATGAAGACAGGTTACCTATGGGAAAGCAGAAACACTGGATTGGCATTTGATATTCCTTTGACAATGAACCTCATACCATGTTGGTAGGAGGGAAAGCTTCACATCATTCCCAGCTCCTGGGGATCTCCTTTTTTCTCAAAACACCTACCACACTCATAATTTGCACCCTGACCCCTAGTGGGTGAAGACAGAAGCACCACTGTCTTTCCATGTTTCATATTTTGTAGTCTTGTCCCCATGGCATCCAGAGTAAGACTGACAAAGAAGGACAGGAATATAAAACAAATTAGGTTAAGGGGAGGGTTCCAGTGGGAGGGGCCGGGTAAAGGAGGGTGAATACAGTTGATGTATTTTCTACACATGTAGGAATACGGAACGTTGAATCCTGTCAAAGTCATTTTAAGAAGGGGGACTGGGAAGAATAATGGAGGGGATGAATCAGGGGTACACTGCACACACACACACACACACACACACACACACATATGAAAATGTCATGAAGAAACCCCTTGTATACAACTATTATGTACTGATAAAAATGTTCTTTAAAAGACTAAGATTAAGGACATGTACAAATGGAATGGCTCCCTCTGAAGAAAATTCAGCCTGAAGATGGCCCTATAAATGTCACCTTTCCTCAGAATCTCAAAGAAAGTATACTCCTGGCCCAACTCAGGGGTCAGGGGTCTAGGCTAAGGCAGATGAGATTTTTCTGCAGCTTATGGTAGATAGACTCTGTAGGTGACCCAGAGATGGAAATTCCTCTTTGTGTGCATAAGTTCTAAAAGAAGTAACCCATTTCTCAACATCTTTGGACACAAAAAAAATTGGAATTTTGCTAAGAATACCTGCTAGTTGGCCAAAAACACCATTCCACATTGAAATCCCAGGAGTGGAAAATTATACTGACCACTTGAAAGCTCATCAGGAGCAATGGGACCCATGGGCTTGAAGCTTTCCTAGTAAAGCCATGTTCCCAGGACCCTTCCTGCCCTGTAGTGCCTTATGCATTGCTTTCTCTTTATAATAGAGATAGCCTCTCCAGCCCCCTTTCTGCACAAAGAAATGAGGGTCCCTGGGAAAGTATGCTGCTCCCTGCCGTCTGCCCACTTGTCAGCTTTCCTAATTACATCTGATAATTAGTCCAGCACATCAGGGAAACCCCAGGAGAAACCATAGAGTCAAAAACATGCTTATCCAACTCTTTAGCTTGTAAGTGTTCAAAGCTTTTAATTGTTCTAAGCTTCTTATTCAACCTGCCAACAATGTATTGCCAAAGGGACACTGCTCACAAACTAACAACAGCTTGTTGGGTACAGACAGCAATATATGTTGCATTGTAAAAATGTTTATATTAATAACATCACCCCCACCCAAGGTCTATTCAACCGTTATCCCCAGCCAAGATGACTGTGAGCCTTGCAGAAATGGAAAGATGCTTGAAGATTATCTCCATTGTTTCAGACTCCCCATCATCTATGAGATACCAAGATAAGAGGGGGTGAAGACTTAGAAGACTGCCAGGGTCACTCCTATTAAGTTTCTCACCAGTTCTAAGTTCCAACTTCATCAAATGGACCAACACCCTTCTTCAGTCCACTTGTCCCTCACTCATTCATTCTACATTCATGTAATGACAGAGTTACCACTGATTGAATGCTTACTCTATGACAAGCACTCCACTGAAGACTTCCAAATCTGTCATCACATTTTAGCCTCACAAAACCCCTAGAAGTTGGTACTACTGTCACCACTATTCTAGATGGGAAATCTGAGACCCAGAGACAATAAGTAAATTACACAGGTGGAAAGCAATGAATCCAAATAAGCAAAGATCTGACTTTAAAGCCTGTGCTTTTAACCACTCAGCAGTACAAAAAATTTACATATAGTTTGTGCATCAGAGATGGAGATGAATAAGACTCAGACCGTGACTTCATCACAGTATGAAGGAGTGAGATACATTGAAACAGGGCATTTCAATTTAGTGTCAAGGATTGGAGAATCTTTAGGTGCTGCAGAAGTTATTGATTACCACAGCCAAGTGACCCAATCCCTGGCTGACTCTGTACACTCAACAGGCATCCTGCATATTGTCTGGCTGTCAAATCCAGTAACGGAGCTCTGAGCCTTGCTCTAGATTTCCTGCCAATATCTTGGATCTTTCTCATGATCTGGAGCCTCTAACTTTAATAAACCAAGTGGGTCTGCATTTTTTTACCCCTTGCTACCTCCCTAACTCTGAAGGCCTCTGCCTTGTCTTCTTGTTTGAGGCTGCCCTTGACCCTGGCTATCTGCCTTTGTTTTTGCTCATGAATTAGGGAAGCCTCACCCTTGAATTTCCCTCTGCTAGTGGTCTCTAGGAATCAGCATTTTCTTTTAAGACCTGCCTGTGCCTTCAAGAGTACTCATGTGAGCCTCCCTACTGGACTACAGGGTTTTGAATGGAAATGCCAAGCTTATCCCTCCCTCTGAATCTTCCCATGGATCCTGATAGGGAGTTTCTGAAATATTAAGAATCAAGCCAAGTCTATTTCTGCTTCAGCTGTATGCAAAGAAGATAAGAAGGATTAACATTCAGAGCCTTTATTTAGCTACAAAAAACAGTAATAAGAAAGAAGAACTCAACTTTGGGAGACAATAGTAATCAGAAGCTTTGAAAGGCAACAAAACACAAATTTACAAATAAGAAAGGAGAAATGACTGTGAATTCAGAACTTATGCTAATTAGTCTGAAAATTTAGATGAAAAAAATGGATGACTTTTACATTTCAATCATATGCCAAGATATGCTACTGTGGAACCACAGACTTACAGATTGGTAAAATGGTGCTGTTACAATGATCCATTCTCTGTCAACCCCCACCTTCTCCACTCCAACCCAGGGTTTGCAAAAAGCTTTTGGATAGCCCCTCCTTTTGGGAGCTTCTGAGAAAGGCAAAGTCCTCTGTGCTTCTGATGAACTCACAATGGTGGCTGGCTTCAAAACATATTAATGTTGTAATCCAGCTGTTGAGCATCAGGTTTCTTGTGTGATCCTGCCCCATATTTTACAGGCTCCCAAGTGTAGCCATATTCATATTGTGTATGTGGATATCCAGCTTTCTCAAATACCTTGGATATTGAGACACAGCAGCTCCCATCTTTGTTACAGGGTTGGAAAATAGAACACTCTCTATCTTAAATATGAGGATCCTAAGGCACAAAATTCCCTGAGGATACACAGCTGGCTCATGGTAGAGGTGGGACTAGCACTCAGGTGTCCTGCTTCAATTCAGAACTAAATAATTAAGTTGCCTGAGAGAACATGCCTTCCTAAAGCCCTGACTTAAAAGGCTTATACATAGCCTAGACAGGAGGGTTTCCATTTGTTCTATTCAGTGCCTAATATGCATTAGAATATTTTATTGTTTTGAAAAAAGAAGTTTCTTTATTAATCATATTTTTAATTCATGGACAAGAAAATTCCATTTCATTACTAGTAACTGATTATATAGTGGAGAAGAAGGACAAAGAGAAATAAAGGAGGAAGAAGGAAAAGGAGAAGGAGGAGGAGAAGAATGGAGTATAAGAAATCATTCTCAAATGAAACTCATTAAATGACTCCTTAAAATTACATGGAGGTAATGTTGACACCAAGTACACCTTGGCTTATATTATAAATGTGTGATTTTTCAAATTAGCTTTCTGAGATAAAATTTCCATCAGGAGGTGACAACAAAAGTAGTAAATATAATAACCATTATGATATCATTTATAGCATCCTCAGAGAGCAAAGGTTTTGCTGACATCAGCTTCATTGTCATACTTGGGTATTTAAGGCAGAGAAGAGAGCACAAAAGCACGACATTCATCTTTATAATTAATCAACTGCCAGCAGAAAATCAATAAAATCAACTCACATTAACATTGAGCCATTAACTTAATACTCTGTCTTAAAAAATAGCAAGTGTGGGGGAAGGGAAGCCAGCTTGTTGAGCATTAGTGTGAACAATACATTACATGGAAGGCCCAGGGTCTTAAATGTCAAAATATGAATAGATAAATGGAGACAACAAATCAGTGTGTGGGAGAAGTTTGAGTCTATTAACAGTAAATGGAAAATTCACTCTGTGACTTGATTTAAGCTTGATTAGATTCTCCAACACATATACACATACTGGCAGTTTGTTCTTGTACGTACCTGTTGCTAGTAGATTCTACATTTCACTTACTTAATTATTCAGAAATGTTACTTAAGGAAGTAGGGTCTGCCTTGTAAATTAAATCTGTGAGACTCACATTCAGCATGCAAAGTATTTTTACTGAAAGTTCAATTCAACCAGTATTGATCATTAAGCACTTACTGGGGCAAAGGTACTATGTGAGAGATACAGAAAAGTACAATAAAGGATTCTTATCTTCAAAGAGTTGACAACATAATATGCAAGTTAGGACAACACAAATAATTAAAATACAAGGCAGGTTGTTGTTACCACTATTGCAGAAGCACAAGAAGCAAGGGGGAAGCACAAATGACAAGAATAATTCTAATAATGAAAACTGGGGAAGACCTCACAGAGAAGATGACACAAAAACAGTCTGAATGAGTGGATGAGAGTCAAGCTGATGGAGACAGGTATTCCAGGCAGAGGTAACTGCATGAACAAAGGCAGAAAGGCAGAAATGCACCTTTTTCATAATAGTCCAAGAAAAAAAGAGCTGCATCTTATTGGTTATAGTAACAGAGATCTGACTCTCCAAAGCTGGGCACAGAACAATTGCCCAGACCCATCTGCCAACCTTCCACCAGATGAAACATACAATTTGCCTACTGGTAGAATTCAGGGTGAAAAGCAGGGCAAAGAGTCTACAGGGAGGGGTGGCCCCAGTGGTGAAGAGGGAACCCCTGTGGCAAGGAAGACAAACCACACTGATTCCTCAGTCTTGCCAACAAATGTTCTGGCTATAGAGAATGGTTGGCAAGCTTTGGAAAGTAAGTTAATGAAATATTCAGTAAACTTACAGATGAGGCT